TACACACACACACACACATTATATAAAATGGATTTTAATGACCCTTAAAAAACAAGAAGATCCTGCCATTTGTGACAACATGGATGAACCTGGAGGACGTAGCTAAGTGAAATAAGTCAGACACAAAAGAAAAATAGTGCATGATCTTACCTATATGTGGAATCTAAAAAAAAAGTTGAATACATAGAAACAGAATACAGTGGTGGGTACCTGGGGCAGGGAGCTTGGGCGGGGGTATTGGGGAGATGTAGGTCAAAGGGTACAGAGTTGCAGTTATGTAGGCCGAATAAATCTAGAGATCTAATGTACAGCATGAAGACTATAGTTAATGATACTGTATTGAATACTAGAAATTTGGTAAGAGTAGATTTTAGGTGTTCTTGCCACACACAAAAAATGGCTATGTGACATGATGAAAATGTTAATTTGCTTGGCATAGTAATCATCTTACTATGTATGATATATCAGAACATCATGTTGTACACTTAAAATATATACAATTAAAAATAAAAGCTCTCTAGGTGATTAGAATATACAGCCAGGATTGAGGATCATTGCAAAAACCTGTGAGCCTTAGTGTCCTCACATCCAAGATGGAGCTCCTAAGGAGAGTAATAGTAACTGCTGTCTGTGTGTTGCAGGTCAAGGATCACATAAAATAATACAGATAAAAGCACTTTGCAATGTTTAAATGCACAGTAATTATTAAAGCAGGCATTATTAAAAAATTTAGCCATTATTACTATGCAAATGAAAGGGATCATTAGCATATTTATTCTGTTGCTGGGGTTCTAACCTTTTCAGATAAAATTCAGTTGCTGTCTCTAAAAGTAGTTGAGTCCTCCTCCCCATTAGTAGTACATGGTAATTTACTTCTGCAGCAAGTCCTAGTGCTGCCCTGTGACCTAGTGAGGGCTTAATAATTACATGTTGACTCAGTGATTATTCTTAATAAACACAATTCTTCCAAGTTTTGCAGAGCACATATTATCACCACAAATCATCATGACATGCTTGTTTATCCCTTTGTGCCACAGCTTGTAAATACAGAGAACTAGGGGATAAACAAGCCTAAGGTTTGTGGGGTGGGAAAAAAAATTAACTGTTTTAACATAATGGCCTTTAAGAACTCAGTTTTAGGTTTCATCAGTGGTTACCTTTCTTTGGATACTTTCATGCCTGACACTTTCATGCATTTTCGTCTGTTCAACCACTGCACTAGAAATGTCTGTGACCATTGAAATTTTGGTAATGGATACTTTTTCTTTTCCCGGTAGTGTTGCAATCAGTCACACCATGACTTTCGAAATTGTCCCACTGTGGTCTATCCTTCAGAATGAGCAGCAGTGTATTTAAGAAAAACTTGCAGACTTATTTCTCATGAACTTGAAGGCTGCCTGTGACATCAGATGCTGCTCTGTGTCTGGAGGGTGTACTCACTGCCCTGCAGCTGCTCTTCAGGATTGAGTTTGAGGAACACAGGCAGATCACCGATGGTGACAGGTTCCGGGAAGGGCTGTCAGTGCATGTGTTACTCCATCCTGTGACCTGTCATGGCTGCAGTGTCCATTCAACATCTCTCTGTTAACCAGAAAATATAACTTGGCAAAGAAAAGTTTGGAGTCTTTTCAACATCTGTATTATTTTTGGTGAATGATTTTGGACATTTCCCCCATTATCTTTCTGGGAATTAGCTCTAAAAGGAGGAATGCTTCTTTCCTTAGGAATCCCTTCACATGATGAACACCTTTTAAGAATTTAGTGACTCTTTATTGATAAAATGAATAGCTAAATTACAACGAAGAGCAAGCTCTTCTGGAATTAGAACCATGTATATTGTTGTATGTTCTTTCTTCACTTTTTCTGCTCACAAGCATAGGACATAACAGAGTTGATGAAAAATTTTAACCATAATATACATGTTATATATTTTATATGTATATACACATATATAAAATATTGTGAGTGCTCCTCTACTCAGCGCACATTTATCGAATGCCGAATTTATTCCAAGGCTCTGGGGATCAGAGGTGACCAACATGCAGCCTTCTCCCAGTATTTTTTGATAGGGGAGAAATGACACACACATACGTGAATACAGAGCAAAACAGTAGGTGGTGAGTGATTTAAAAAGTCACTAAGTATTGTGAGAGCACAGAGGAGAATATTTTGAAGAAAACTCTATAACAATAAAAATTCCAACTACCTAATGAAAATGTTACTAAATCTAACAAATTGGTCAAGTAAAGAATATTTGATTCTATTTTTAACTTTCCCTTACATATATGGTTTAAGGACCAAACTTCCAGTACATTTTTGTAAGTGACTCACTATCTCATTTGCTGATACATTATCTTGCCCTTTAGCAATGTCTATAAACATTAAAGTTCTGTAAATAAATGCAGTCTTTTGGTTACAGTGGGTAAGATAACATCCCTCTTCATAAACACCCCACCCCTTATCAGAAATTAAATCGAATCACCAAGTGCATGGAATAGTGGGTTTACAACTAGTGTTCAGTCAGTCCAGGTCGGCTGATAGGTTTATTCACTGGAGCATGCTTTGAGAGGTTGTCACTCAATTGCAATAGATGTCTTTCAAATAACTCACATCTGGGTGCCTTTTACCTTTCATTTTCTTCTTCCTTCTCATTCCATTTATATCTCTTTTCTGGCTTCCTTCCTCCCAGGCCCTTTTTCAGGATATACATCATATTAAATATAAATTGGGAAAACCTAGCCAGGACATTTTTGTCTTGAGGGAGACACCCCCAAGAACACTGTCCTGCAGTAGCAACTACAGGGAGGTTGGACTGCTCACCAGCCTGTCCCCAGTGTGATTCCTGCTTCTGCATACCACCCATTCATTCATTCATCACATATTTTCCAAGACATTTCTCTGCACCTCAATCACCGCGCTAGGTCCTAGGGACACAATGGTGAGCAAAAAGGGAAACTGTTGCTGTCCTCATGTGGGGGAGGTAGTGTCAATTACAAATTTACATGAATAAATATGTGATAAACACTCTAGTTCTGACATAGAAAGGAAAAGCAAAAATTATTTAACTCCCTAACAGCTCTGTAGTCTTAGGATGTGTGCGTGCGTCTTTGTTTCTCTCTCCCTTTCCTCTTTGTGAAGTGAGGATGGAGAACGTGGCCAAGACTGAGTCCTGGCATGGTGTGGAGGTTCATGCCCACATTCTTTCTTTTAATCATGGAATTCTTGACAACCCCCCCTCCCCATTTCAGATACAAATAAGGGAGTAAGGCCACATCGTTATTACTCAGACTGCCATTGGAAGGGTGAATAAACGGATACTTGCATTTTGGGAGTTTGAGGGCAGAAATATGTCACAGGATCTAACTTGAAGCCATCAGATTTAGTGGTTGCTGACTCCGCTAAGTCAGGGACCCTGGATTTACTTTTTGGACAGCAGCAAGATAAAATTTCCCCCTTTCTCTTTAGATGTCAGGATTAGATCTCAAAAATGGAAAAGGGTGTTCTCCTAAAGGGGTGCCACCCGCGTGGTTGACAAACGACGGATTTCCCAGGATAGCTGCCGCACATTCGATTTCTCATTCCCGCATTTCTTCCTCGCCACGATTTCGAAGTCCTTCCCGAATACGCCCAGTCATACTTTCTGAACTTTGGAGCAAACCCCTCCCGGCTCGCTGTGCCCTCCGCGAGCC